GATCGCTGAGCCAGATAATCACAGGGAACTTAAAAACCTTAAAAGTATTTCAAATTGTCTTTAAAAAGTTTTCTTTTATAGAGCTTTTGACCTACAGAGTTCTTCTTTTCTATCTATGCCTATGAGATCCTTTAAAATTTCCCAAGTCTTTTTGTGCAATCCACACCCATTTATCTAAAAAAAAAAAAAAAGAAAATCCATATACGGAACGTTCAAAATACAATGTTCCAGCAACTAATAACAGTAAACGTTGAACTACTGGCCAAGATTGATTCAACGATTGCCTCACATCATCGTCGTCATCATCATCTTGCCAATCAATACCGTGACCCACCCCCTGGACTCCCAAAGGGACAAGCAGCCAGACAAAATGCAATTCCCCCAACAACACCAACACACGCAGAGAGTTCAGAACGTCAGAAGCACTGCCTTGAGATCTGTCTGAGTGACTCCTCAACGAAACTTGGCTCAAATCAACTCCTCGGCTAGCTGAGCGACTGTCTCTACTGACTGGCCAGATCACTTGCTGGCTAGAAGCACCAACAGCAGCAGCAGCAGCAACATCAACAACGACAGCAACAACATCTACGTCGACGATGATGGCGACACATGCTATGGGTACATAGCATAAAAATTACTTCCTGATTGTGTTACATGCACCCAGGACCGGTCCCAATGCCCCCTTCCATGCTCCACCCTTTTTGGATCCCTCTTTGAGAATATTGCTTATTTATACACTGGAAATTATTATAAAAGTAGCATTGATATTATTTTATAGTTTATGGTAGATGGATGAGCTTTGGATTATTCCTGGTGGAATTCTGGTTAGCCAATTTTTCTCAGTACACTGACATCTCTTCACATACGTCTCTTGTAGATACAAAGTTTCTGCCCAAGGCTGAAACGGTTACGGATAACATGCGTGGGCAAAAAAAAAAACAACTCCCGGCAAGGTGCCCCTCCCGGTTAAACCGGGTGGTGACCCTACATCCAGCTGCGGATCAAGAGCAGCGAGATGTGTATCGCAAAAAGTGTCAATGGACGCAAATTTACAAAATGTGCTCCATTCCTGCCGCCATTGTTGTGTAGGGGCATTTGTCGGGCCCATTGTCGCCCGGCACGTGTCGGAATCTCAGATCGCCGGCTCAGGTTCTGTGCTCCACTCCCGAATCTGGAATCGCTTGTCCATGGTCCATGAATTCAGAGTCGAGCAAGGAAGGGGTTAGTAGAAGCGTTTTCAAGCGACGACCCCCGGAGGGCAAGTAACGTTTTTGCCTGTCATTTTTCTTCATGTTTATTTTTCGCTTACTGCATTTTCTGGCATTTAAGCCCCACTCTGATCTATCTGTCTTTTGCTTGGCTATGGCTTCGGCTTTGGCAATGGCTATGGCTATGGCTACAGCCTTTTGAGCCGGCTGTTTGAGTTTCTGTGTCAGTCCCAAACCCGGAGCACTTGTCGTGATTAGTTTAGAAAAATGTTGGCTATTAATTTGCTGCCTTGAGTAACACTTGTTATTTGGCTTCGCATTTCGCATACTCGTATAATCTTGTCTGACCGCCTGGTGCCATGTGCGAACCATAGATAATCTATATGCGCCGCTCCGAACTCCGCATCCACGTCCCACGTCCACATCTCAGTTGCAAAGCTACAGAGCCGCATACAAATGGGTCTTGGCTTTCGTAGTCGATTGTGCGGGCTTGTGCTCTCGAATCTAACATGTGTTCCATACGCTTTTCTTTATTTTTTTGTCGTTTTTTTATGTTTCTTATGAAACGAATCAAGATTGGTGAACTTTGCTCGAGGAAACTAGATCAAAAATGTTTATGCAAAAAACTAAAAAACACCCATGCAGTTGGAGTTATTTAAGAACTTATAGATAATAAATATTATTAAGCTTCATAAATATTGAATGAGTTCCCATCAGATCTGAGCTTTATTATCTCACAAATACACCGTAAACAGTTGGCTCGATCCGTGCAGTTGCATAATCGCAATCTTCTTCGGCCGTGGCGTGCATCCGTCAGGTTAATTAGTAAAATACCTGGTGACCAGGCACGTATTGCCATTTAAAAAGCATCAGTTTTTTTTTTGTAATTTTTGAGTTGATTAATCTCCACCTACTGCCGGTAACCGGTCGGTCGCATGCTTTTGTGCGATCTCAGTAACAAAAAAATCAAACTGGCCGAAAACTAAATGCTCTTGAATGGAATCTAGGGCTTTTGGTAATCTAATAGTCCCAAAGAAAAGAAAGAAATTGTGAATTTAATAAGAAACCACAAAGATAGTTGGGGAACCTATCAAGTTTTAATACTTTGTGTTTCGGTTAGCCAACCTACCCCAACATTTATCCGAATCACGGCCTCTCCCATTTTGGCTATTATGCCCTAACCAATCGATTACTTCCTGCATTTTTAAATGTCCCCCCTTGGCTGCCAGCAGTTTGCCAAATTAATCAAGCGTGTGCCAAAAAGCCAAGAGGAAGAAACCAGAAAATTAAACGAAAAAGGAAAAAACGGAGTTATAAATGAAAAATGCTGGACAATTGCATGGTTCGCTTACAGTGACTAATCGATTTATGGAATTAAGTTGCGCCGCGGAAAGGAAAGCAAACTGCATCTATGGCGGCCAACGGGCACTGGGCGATGGAAAAATGTTTTAATATGGCCCCAGCCGGCCGTCTGACCGAAACTATTCCATCCAGGCGGTTCCGTTGGTTCCATTCCGCTGCGTTGGGTCCTCAATGTCCGATGTCCGTTGTCCGATTGCTCTGTGGCTCTTTTTGGTCTGGTGGCTATTGATTTTTTTACGAGCCACTAAGGAGGAAGACAACGGCAACGCACTCGATTTGGAAGTATGCCAAGGCATCGGGCCCACAGTTCAACCTACTCCATCTGAATCCCCTCCAGCCCACCTCTCGGGAAACCGCACTTCTATATACATTTCCTCCCTGGCGATGTGTCGGCAGATTTGTTTGTTTTCACATTCGATTCTCGGTCGCTCGATTGGTTTCCATCGGCCCGGTGTGTGTGCGTTTGGAAATGTGCCAAAGTTCATTGCACGGCATTGCTCTGGCGAAATTTCGACAAGCATTCGCACACTCGAGATGGCTCATGAAATGCACGAGAAAAAGCTGTGGATATTGATGGGGAAAACCCTTGAACGGGTGCTCTTGGCTTTCTATTGGGAAATCAACAGAAAATGACCCAGAATTCTGTAAGGTTTTTATGGTGTGTAGCTTAAATTTATTTTTAATTCTTACCCATTTTGTCAAACATTTAAACTTAGAAAAAAATCATTGAAAAAGCTTTTCCAAATATAGTTCCATCTAATTATAACGCCCGTATGAGTGTGCTGCATACTTTTAGGCACCGCTCATATGCGCCATTATTATTTCACACCCTTCTGTATGACCCATATCTATTGTTAGTTGAAGAAATAGTTGCCTACTTTTTGTGACAGTTTGTGTTTTATTAGGCGGATACTTAATTTTGGTCGTCGTCGTCATTGCTCTGCATGTAGTGCAAGAACTGATCGGCCATGTGCCAGTACCAATGCAACTTGACCAACTCGAGTCCGCCCTTGTCGGCAATCCAAATTTGTCCGTTTTCTCCTCGCTGGATGGCATTGACGATATTCTGGCCACAGACGGCTGTCGATTGGCATGGGGCGTGGCGGAGGCGATCGGCAAAGGTTTGGCCGTATTCCAGAAACGCCTTCAGCTCCCTGTCCACAAAAACTGTTGTGGGTCCACAACATACAGCCATAACTGCCACGCCGTTTTGGGAATAATAGAGCGGATCCTATCAGAGGAATATAAAGAATTACTTATTACATTTATTAAATTTGTATAACTTACCGCCAAGCTTCTGGTAAAGCCAATAACTCCAAATTTGGAAGCACTGTAGGCGCAAAAGACTGGCGATGGGTCCAACCCAATGACAGAGGTAACATTCACAATCAGCCCGCCCGAACCTCCCATTTTCCTATCCATATAGGGCAGAACAGTGGCCACAGTATTCATCATTCCGGTCAGATTCGTGTTGATGGTGGCAGCAATATTGTTTTCATCGCACAAGGTAGCCCCATAGATGAGTACATCGATGTAATCCATTTGTACCATGACTTCATCGAAGTACTGTTTCATTTCCTCCCTGGCCATGGTTACATCGTAGGTCCAAAAAAATATCTGGGTGCTAGGCTTTATCGACTGTAGTTGTGCAATAGCTTGAGGGTTTTCCACACTTTGTAATATGGCTAGTTTCTAAACAAAGTGGGGAAACTCAAGTGAATAGGTTCTAATAAACTGCGGAAGCTTCTAAATTTTCTTTGTTTGTTGACTAATTCGATAACCGAGTAGCGTTGGCAGTATTTTAATTGCTTATCTGAAGTTGAATATCAGATAAAAGGCATTCCAAATTTTAGGTACATTTAAATATTAATATACTCTTATCTTGTTTCTTTCAAAGCGACAGTAAATCATTGAAAAATTTAAATTTTAGTTGTAAGTAAGAAAAATATTATAATTTATATTCCGATATGCAAAAGTGATAACTGAGCTCAGCCCAAAACTGAAACATAAACCTAATTGTAGGAGCAATAAAGGCAGCGCGAGAAACAAACATGAAAAACTCATTAACTTAATTAGTTTCGACAGCGACTGGCCGGACTAGTTTCGAGTTCGACTTGGCTTGGAGCCGCCTTGCGAAGGCAGTCCCCATCCCAGCCGATCAGATTCAACTCCAATTCCGATTACGATTCCGATCCACTCACCGCTATGTTCTTGGTCATGAGAACCTTGCTGGTTTCGAGTGCGATTCCTCCACAGTCCGCCACATAGCAGACATGCTTGCCCGTCAAATCGAACATTCTTTTCCGCTTTCCTCGAGCTCTGCTTTACGACTGATTGGTGGATCGGAGTCCGCATAGGCCTCATAGGCCACTCCTGCCTTGCCCCTTTATCTATTTTCCATTTTAATTAAGTGCCGAGCTTATCGTTTGTTGTTTCTCAATTTTTGTATAATTTTGGATCTTCTACAGTTTTATTATCGTATAAGAGGGAAATGTGAGTGCGCCTTATTGCAAATCAAATCAAATCAGACTTCTTGCTTTGCGTGTATATCGAATATGAACTAATGCTAGTGGGGTATGAGTATCCTCCTTAGATGCCAGAGTCCCAGTACTTTTTCCACTCGATGTCCTCCAGGGTACCTTTGTCGAGGAACCAGAGACCGCCGTTCTTGTTCAGCTCGATGGCCTTGACGAAGTTCGTGGCGCATTCCTGGGTGGTCTGGGTGGGGTGCTCCAAGAGCTTCTCGGCCACCTTGGGCTCAACATCCAGCCAGGAGTTGAACTTGTGCACCAGGGTGGTGCGAGTGATGCCAGGGTTCACGGTGTAGGCGGTCACACCGGTGATGGGAGCCAGTTTCTATTAAAATGGGGATATTATTATTGGCATTTCACAGGACAATCCACAATAGAACTTACGGCCAGGGAGCTGGTGAAGTTGACAACGGCAGCCTTGGTGCCAGAGTAGACGGGCACCTGGTAGATGGCATTGAAACCAGTCACGGAGCCAATGTTGCAGATGATGCCTCCTGGTCCGCCCTTGCGAATGTCCCAGAAGTCCAGGATGGCGGTGGTGGTGTTCACCAGACCAGTGTAGTTGACAGCGATGGTGGCCTCGATCTTGTGGTCATCCAGGATACCAGCTCCGTTGATCAGGATGTCCACGGTCTTCAGCTTGTCGAAGATGGTCTTCAACAACTTCTTGGTCTCGGTAATGGGCACGGTCACATCGTAGGGGATGAAGGTGACGGTCACCTTGGGATTAATCTTCTGCAGTTCGGTGATGACAGCCGGGTTGTTGATGCGGTCCAGGATGACCAGGTTCTTCAGGTCGCGCTTGAGCAGCTCCTTGGTGGTGTCCAGGCCGATGCCTCCCAGACCAGCCACGAAGATCACGTTCTTGTTGGTGAGTGAGAGTGGCATTGCTGTAGCGATCTGTTTGAAAGAGGGCTAGTTTAATTGTTGGTCTCCAGTTCGCTACTGCCCCGTATTTATAGGAAGAAGTCCCCCCAGAAGCTTTGATTACGTGGAGCTTTCGTCGACCATTATCAGTCGTTACGTGATAATCTGGCTGCCATACGTTAGCGCCGACGGCTCTGCCAGGTTTTCGGCTTGTTTGTTTTTTTCCGGCACTCTTCGGTTTGTTTTTGTTTGGGATATGGTGCCGGCAAGCTTTTTCTAGATTAGCATTTTGTTAGTATGTGGGTAAATTATGTTTAACGGCGTCTGATTTTGCGCGCGCCTCGGTTCGTTTGGAAAATTACTGCTAGTCTACACGCGCATAGTTTTTTTTGTTTTTATTTGTTTTGAGATAGCCAGCGCCGGCAAGGCCCCTTTTAACAGGGACGGACAATGTTAAGAAGTCTATTTTTAGAAGTTAACTAACAGATCGGTCTCGGCTATTGAGAAACTTATTATTCGGCACCAGCCCCCAAATTAGAATATTCGTCTAATTTTCCCGCAAATCAGCAGCGAGGCTTGATTTGATCGGTCGGCCTGTCAGCGGCTACTTACTTGATTAGTTGAGTGAAGAAATGCAACTTTCGTTAGCCGGTCTGCTGAACTGCACCTGACAACTGCACTGAGACAATAATCGGAGTCCTAGACCTCGGCTTCGCCTTAAATACTCTTCCGCCTGTGGGCGGCTCAGTTGCACTCGTCGCCGTCGCTGACGCCGACTGCAACGGCGACAGAATAGCTGCAATAATATGTAAAATGCAATAATATTACTCAAACAAACGATCTGCAAATGAATGAGGGGCAAATGGGAGATAGGCAAGAGTAGCTGAAAGTACACTCAACAATTTTTAATAAGAAACTTTTTGGAAAAATAAAAAAAAGGCGAGAAATTTAAAAAAAATTGTATTATAATATTCAACACATGTTTTAAAATTCAATTTTCAAAAAAACTTATAAAAATAATAAATATTGGCCTTCAATATTCTAAAATCAATATTCAGAAGTATTCAATAAACTTAAATTTACCATTTTTCAAAACAATTAGCACCATTTTTTTGTCAAAACATTATTTATTGGTAAATAATTTTTCAACACGAGCTACATATCTTTGAAAACAAATTTTTAATATAAATTTTAACATTGAGAACCTAATTTTCTTAAAATAAATATAGTTATACATCTGCTACGTAGGAAAATGAAAAAAATATACAACTTTTTTCATTTACTGAATATATTTTTGGTTCAGTGTACACGAACTGGGAGCAGACAGTATGAGCTTTAACCTTGGGTGAATGTCAAATAGTGTGAGCAGCAGTCTAGAACTATCCCGGCTTGTTTTTCTTCTTGTTGTGGTCGCAATTGAACTATGCCTTAATTTGCATATGTGTAACGGAGATACAACGTGGGGGGAAGTTCAAAATTGGTGGGGGCTGGACGGACAGCTGCCCTGAATCAATCTATAAAGGCAAGCTGGCAGCCAACACGCCCCCAAAAACGCAGCTCATTAGCATGCTCGCTTGTCCACAGGCCGGGGCAGCGACCAAGCCCACTTTATGGCCGAGCTGGACTAGCGGTTTCAAGTGGGCACTTGTGCAAAGAGAGCGCAGTACATGTGCAGTTGAATAGCTACAGTTAAGTGTTAACCCATCATAAACAAAAAATTTGGCCAAATATAAATTTAATAGGTGGTACGATTTGAAGCCTTAAACCTTTGCTGAGACTAATTTATATATTTTTTTTAAATTAAAATCTGAAATTAAAAATGTAATCTAAAATTAAATTATAAAAAATAACTTATCTGAAGGACCCATAAAATGGTTTTTCTAAAAAAATTATATTTTTATAAATAAAGATAAAGATAAAAATTTTATAAATAATAAGCAAGTTCGTGTCCTAACTCAAAAGCGTTGAAGTCTTTCGATTATGTAATATGCTTATCCTTAAAAGAAATAGTGGAAAGTTCAATTTTTCTTTAAAAACGCCTTCTAAAAGATCATAAAAACATATCCCACCATAAGTATATCAACTCAATCCAATCTTATAAAATATTTATCTATAAACTAGATCCAGCAAACTTCCAGACCATATTCAGAGATTTCAGAGGGTTAAGTTTATTGCGGGAGGGGCTGCCGTTTGCGATGGCACGTGTGATGAGTGCGAGAGAGATAAGTATGCGGAAGAAATGAGCTTTCAATTTGCATATAAAAAACTTGAACCTGTTTCTTGATGTGGCATATAGTATACCCACGCTTAGATCTCGGTCTATATGTGGGTTAGGGCCTATATATAAATTATCTCTATTAATATTGCTTTTCACCTCTGGGGAAAACAGGGATTTCTGGATTATTCTTTCCAGTCGTTGCTTTAAATTTTTACTTAATCTATTTATACCAAATGGGCTATATAATTTATTATCTATTAAAATTTTTTAATAAGCTTAAGGGGCCAATCCTATGTTATCACTAATCATGCACTGACGCTTTGAAAATGCATGTTTTTAGAAGTTCTATCATTGCTGGTGATTCCCTCATCGAATTTTTACCGCAATCGATAATTGGCGTTCCTATTGACCCATTAATCAAACTAGTTGCCCCACCAACCTGGCAACGCCTCGTGTAGCGATATAAACATCGTATGACTGTTTTTTTCCCCAGACGACTTTCTGATATGGTCCCCGGGTCTGGTCAAGACTGGGCTATATATTTCTTATCAGCAGACGTGCCTAACATCTTCGTATTATTTGGGGGCCAGGCAACCCGTCGCTTGTTTATTTTTCCACTACTCCATACACCGAGAGAAAACTATATAAAGTAAATTTTGAACAGAATAACTTTATTTTTAATCTTTGAATATTTCTAACATATAATATACTCTTATTTCTATTAATATAATTTTATTTTCCGGTGTACACTGTACAGTGGGCTGTGCGCGCCCTATCAGCTTGGCCCCCAAGGCACGCCGCCGGTGACATTCAACCTCTCCGGGGGTAATGACGCCAACAGCGTACCTGTCAAAACCGATTTACACTGGCACTGGGTCTCACACTCGTACACTCCCGCCCATAAGTACTCGCACATACTCGTACACATGAGGCAGGCATTGAGATGTCGTTCGGCGGGCTAATTAAGACAGTGGCATTGTCTTCCCGCTGAGAGTGTCTGTCTATTGAATCGAAACTGGGGCTTCTAAACGACGCCGTCTAAGCGGCTTACCATTTTTAGTAGGCCGAAGGCTGGATACGGAAATCATGGGGCCACGGAGGGCTGTCAGGGGGCTTCGAGGGCCCTAGTATACCCGTAGATGTGTTCTACATGCATATTTGGGGCGGATTTCTATTGCATCTCGATGCAAACATAATCTAATTTGTTATTCCAATGTTTGACCCATTTGACTCAAGACAGTCTTTAAAATGGCGTAACTGAAGCAACCTGGTTAGACGTAATTGAGAACGGAGGTTCTTTGCGAAGTCGATCAGGTTACTTTAGTTTCTTCAACTTTTTCCAATGGATTTCTTTAATTATTGGAATATTTCTTATAGTGCTTAATAATCCAAGATTCAAGTAATATTTTAGAAAGTATTCTTCACTCTGCAGCTTCAGATATAAAGTCCAAAAGATACAATACAATATTTATGAATTCAGAGGCAAGGAAGTACGAAAAATAAATAAAGAACTAGAGCGTAAAGTGAAAAATGGTACTGAGCCTTGATTACTTATTCGTGAGCGAGCTCTTTTCTTCTGGGCCTTATAAATAAAACGCTCGACACACCTTACCACTTTACACATACTGGCAGAGTCCACCACCTTCCCCCCACAACAGCACAACCCACCCACCAGACCATTGTTGGCCTGCAACTAGCAAGCATCTTGCAACGCTGCCTGGTGCTATGGTGCAACAGATTTCAACGTCATCTTCGCTGAAGGTTGAGCTTAATTTGCTTTGACTTTTAGCAATTTGCATAAATATCAGACACATGTTGAGTCCTACACCGTTGCGGCGTTGCGGCAGCCTGTTGCACGTTTGTTATGATTCTCTGGCAACCAACAATAACAATCAGAATCAGATCCAGATTCAGAATCAGAATCAGCATCAGATTTAGATTCAGAATCAGTGCCAATGCAAAAGCGAAGGCGTTGGTGCTGGGTTGCCTTTCATGGGAATGACAACGCCAGAAAATATATGAAAGAACGAATTATAAAGGAATTATGATTTCCTTCGGGGGCGTTGAACATTACTTACAATATCTGTCTCCCTACCTTTCCATTGCAGTTTTGCAAACCAGATGATCGGCTTGATATTTACTTATAAGACACCACCAATATTTTATGATATTTTTAGAACTATTTTCTAAAATTTATGTTTTCCTTTTTTTTAGCGCTGGCAAAGACGATGGTTTGTTCTCTATGACGATGGCGAGCTGACGTATTCGGTTGATGATTATGTAAGTGTTTTTTTTATTCTAAAGTTCTTAAATGTATTTGTATACGGCTGTCGCATAAAAAATGTTCCGGCTTGTTTATTTTTGTTTGTTTGCCTCCTCAGAAATTCTGCGTAGATAACAAACAATAATAAAACGAACATAAAAATGCGCATTATGGCCTTGCTCTTGAAATCTAATTAAATTTTATATCAACCATAGCTTATCGGTTGTCCGAAAAATTAAAAATCATGCCACACGCCGAGCTTTTTATTTTAGATTTTTCCTAAAAATTAGCGAGCTTTTAATTGATTTATTTACTCTAGCCAGTATAATTGATTTATTTAGCTAGAGTGTACAAATAAACACCTCTGTTATAACACCAGTTTGATTTATTTTATTTGAAATGGGATTAGTTAGCTTGTATTTGCTTGCCACTTAAAACCAGCCAGCCTATTCTTAAGAATAAATAATAATTAAATTATTTAAATAAAAATGTAATATTTATGTTCCCCCTTTACAGCCCGATACCATACCACAGGCCTGTATCGATATGACCAAAGTTCTGGAGGTGACTGGGGCCGTGGAGGTTACCGGTCATCCCCATTCCATCGCCATAACCTCTCCCGAGCGGGTGACCTTTGTCAAGGGCACAAGCTCCGAAGAGTCGCAGTGGTGGCTGAACATCCTGGCCGCCTTTCCCAAGTCAAAGGGTCGCCATAAGCGGAGTGCCACCCTGCCGGGCGGTCAGGTGGTGGGCAGTCTTCGCCAGAGCACGGGCAGCAGCGACTTGTCCCTGGCCACCAAGCTGGTCAACCGGCACAGCTCTTACCACAAGGACACGCTCACGTCCTCCCAGTCGGCTGGAAATCTGCTCAGCACCTTGGATCTGAGTCCCAGTTCCACAAAGACTGGTGGATCGGCGCTAACCACCAGCCAGACGCCTCTGAACGATGACGAAGAGGACGACGGCGTCGAGACGGGAGAAGATGTGGACGAGGAGGAAGACGAGGACGAGGAGGTGCCAAGAAAGTCCAAGGCTGCCACTACGACCAGTTGTATTGGTGGACAGGATGAGAACAATCGGAATGCGGGCAACGAGATCACCAACCGTGGTAAGCTCAAAAATATATTATTTTTTAATTATTTTATTCATATTATTATATTCTTAAGAAAATAGGAAAAATTAGCCAAAACACAAACCCGATCAAGAAAAAGCTTTTAGTTCTAAAAGTAAACATACTTGATTTGTTAATTAATAAACTGTTAACTAATTTGTTAACTAATTTATTAAAAACCTTTTAAAATACAATGCAAAACTTGAAAGTTAAGATATCTTTTTACACCATTTTTCGTGAATTCGGCTCAGTCTTCCCTTCTCCTTGTCTGGGCCTGGGCTCGATTGAGCTCGAATCGGCTGCTATAATTTTTATGATCATTTATGGCTTGCAGCAATCAAAATTATCAACCCCACGGACAGACCGACGGACAGAGACAGAGTAGTAGTTGAAGGATTGCAGGGATATCCAGAGCAGAGCCCTTCCGAGGCGGGGGGCAGTGCGTGCAGCTAGTTAAAGCCGCTGCCACGAAATTAACCTTGAATTCGCGCACAAACTCACATACACCGGCGCAGGAGGGCCGAGCACTGAGAAAGAATCCCCACCACTACTTAAGATCGTATAATGGTAGGCTTCATAAATTTTCTTTAGATCCCAGCAGACCTGCAAACAGACACAGATACACACAAATACATATTTGTGTATACGACCAAGCTCCATGGAGGATCGGCTGTTGGGTCGGTAATTGCAGTTACTGTGAATGTTCTCACATACATTGCTGCAGGATACTTGTTCATGGAAAAATGATATTCACGCTTAAATTATAGTGTGTCTGCGCTCAGATCCGTTGTTGTGCCATCGCCGATGCCCCGACGGGCTGGGGAGTCAGTCGCACTGGGTCCGGGCCCTTCTCCCAGCCCCAACTCCCGCCCTGGTTGCAAATGCAAGGCTCAGGATCCACATCAAATGGCATTATTCTGTTGATAAATCGCCAGTTAAGTACGTGAACCAGTTCGAACTGTTGAGCTTGCGAAATGGAAAGCGAAATTAAATGGGTACTTCACGGATCCGAGAGGTGGGAAAACTTTAAAAATACTGAAGTGCCCTTCAAGGCAGAAATCCGAACATTAATGGTTATTTTATAATAGTTTGTTATACATATCAAGTTAGCCAATGCAATGGAATATTCAAACCACATAATTCTTTTTATTTAAAAAGGATACCGCTTCTCCCAAAAAACTGTTTTCCATTTGCCACCTTTTTCGATTTTCAAGGCAAAGTGTTTCCGCGTAATGGGTCTCGAGTGTCTGGGAGATGGTTACCAAGTAGGACTCTAGGGCATTTCGCTCACTTGCTCCATACAGCTAGAGCTGGGTGCTGACACAGACTAATTACATTCCATCAATAAGTAAAATTGTGCGGCAAATGAGGCAATTCATTGGGCGCTGGAAAGGGGCTGCCAGCTTTTTTCTGAATGGGTGTTAGGGAATGGGGAAAAAGTCAGAGCTCTTAAAATGCACAACGACAAAGATTATAAACTGTCTACACCTAATAGCCGTCGGCAGGCCAATGTCAGGCCGGGGCCAGTTGAAATATTTTCCAAGTCAGCGCTACATGATAGGCCCCTCTGGACACGACTTCAATAGCCTCTCCAGGTCTCCATCTGCATCCATGTGGGCATATGGCTGTACTGGGGCTTGTAATGGGCAAAGTTTCACGGCAAAGTAAATAATTACAGTGCAAATAAATCTCGGGAAGTGGTGTGGAAAGGCTCGGGTCTGTGGATGGGCTTAGAAATTTCAACAGTCTTGCGGAAAAGGTGACGAAATACAGCAGCTCTTCTTCCAGTAACTGGCGATTAAACGCCCCAAAAACTGAAATCCCCAGACAGTCCCAGGCTAACAATCAAAGCATCAACCTAGGGCCCATTACAGCGAACAAGCTGCTGCAGAATTTAAAGTTGCCCAAGAATTAAGTGCAAGATTGTATTACAATGACAAATTATAGACGACGAGCGCAGAACTACTTATGATTGCAACAAAGTAGCTACTAGGACATTAATTGAATGCACTGGACAAAATGGCATAGAAATCGGTGTTCTTTAAATGTTGAATTTTCATATATGACTGGTAGCCTTTTTTTCACAGTGTTCTGAAACTGAGAGTTGCACTGGAACTGTCTCCTTAGGGTCCTTATCGTGTGTAACCTTCATACTATATCAATTCTTAATTACAACCCTTTGCAACTATGTATGGCAACTATGGGAGAGAGTTCCATTAGTTGTTCCCTGAATTCATTATCTTTCTATTGCGGAACCCCATTATGAGCCGCAACAAACGCTCCTCCTCCCAGCCTGCACTCCGAGGAGTCTCTGGACAACTTCTGTACAAATGCAAAATGACAGCGCAGGACAGACAGGAGGAGAAGAAGTTGGCTCAGAACGCAAGGAGGCGTCTCGGCAGCTAACGATGCTGGCTGTGCGGTTTACGAGGTTCGGGAGCGGCTGGAGAAGTTGCAGCAGAAGCTCCACCGCCACCACACCACCACCACACCACCACCACACCACCACCACCGTCACCATCATCACCAATAACCAATCAATATTCATAAGTGTAACGACTTGCAAGCAAAATTTATGCAACATGCTCGGGTCCGGTCTGGTAAGGTTTTTTTTTTTTGTTTAGCTTCGTCCGGCGATCGGGGGTACGGCCAGTTAGAAATTTTTCAAAGTCATCGTGTGAGGGGGCTCCAGGGCAGGTGGGGAGCCCCCAATCCAATCCAAAGGCAATTTTCGCTTTCGTTCGCCCAAAAGGCAGAGCCGGCCAGCTAAATCAACTTGCAATTTGATTATTTATTACGTCTGAGGCGGAGACTGGCCAGAGAAGCAGTAAAGGGGGAAGGATCGAGGTATTCGAGAGTTATTTGCAGGAAGCTAGACCATGATTGAGTGGGCTGTTCTGAGTGCGCTTAATTGAGGCAATAATTAATCAAATGCTGTTAATTATAGAATTGAAAAAAGAAGTCGCCACTAGAGACAATTCCAAAAATCTTTCCCGTAAAAACTTCAGATCTAACCCATGGACTTCTTATTCCACCCCGTTTACATCGTCTTGGTGCGAGAGTCCCTCATCTTCGAGAAACTATAATTACAGGGCTCTCTGAATCTGCAGCGGCATCAAGTCACTTAGCCCATGTATCTGCGAACACTGTTTTTATCAACTTAATTACACTTAGCACCTTACGCGCCTTTTTTTTCATTTTTTGTTCGGCCTGGATGGACCCCGTAGTTCTCCGATTTGATCTTGAACTTGAAAGCGCATAGTAAAAGCCACAATAAATATTAAATGGTGCAAAACACATCAAGGGCAGGCAACAAAAGCGAAACAAAGAGCTCCAGATAATAAAGCAGCAAGTGGGGAAGTTTTTATGGATACCCCAAGGATAGCTGGAGCCCTAACCGAATCGAATAAATGATGACCTGTAAAGGTTGCAAAAGAGTCTTACATGAAGGCCTATTTAAGCAATACTTAGCTAATATTAACATTCAAAATTTGGAAATTCTGGCAGAAATATTCCTTTAGTTCAGGTTTGAGCCGGTTGTACCTTGTCTTGTTCCAATACCTTAGTTAGCCTATCATTGGCGGAAACCTAAAGAAGGTCTCCATACCTCACAGGATCCCGCAATGCGCCATCATGAAAATAATGAACCCCCATTCAGTGCGTAAAGTACCAGTGTCTTTCTGGGCAACCGCCCCGGTATGTGTAATATCATAAGCATTATAAATTCCATTGCTGACATAGTCCCTGCCCCGAACTGCAAAGTCTAATCGACGGAGCGTCGCCTGGGCCACTTTGGCCGGACTGGGCCTGGGCCTTTGGTCTGCGAGATGGGCCGACAAGTCGACCAATTAAAGGCATACCCCATGATGCCCGTCGTCGCAGTTAGCACAGTAACCTTGAACCTGCTTCATGAGTCAGTCAGTTAGTCAGTCAGTCAGTTCCTTCCAGCTCCGTTTCTGTCAGAGTGCGCGGTGGATATGAAGCTAAGCTGCCGGGTATCCAGAGATCTGCAGCTGCGGGTTCAGAGGCTGCTGCTGGTCCACCTCCTTTCGCTTTTCGCAACAGCTCAATAATCAAGATAAACGCCGCGAAGCAGCCGAAAAGCGACCAACCTGTTCGACTGACCGAATTGATGCCCACTCAGCCACTCAGAGTTTCAGTCCCTTTCCCAGTCCCAGTCCCAGGCCCAGTCCCAGTCGGTCTCTGCTCCAGACATTCGCTCGTCGCAAATTTGTATCATCATAATAAACCTAAATGCGACGGCTGGTTGGAACAGGTCGCGTCTAAATATATATTTTGTAATCACATATTTTATGGGACAACTTGCGTCTCGTTTGGTTCGTCTTCAGATCTGCGATGCGACTTGTTCGGGTGTTAATAAAATTATGGCACTCCGTAGAGCTCTCAGGATCCTTCTTTCTCCCATGGACAGCTTATCGCGGTCCCTCTGCGTATCCCCTTACAATTCCTGGTGCCCGTTTTAATAATTTTATTATATTTGCGCGCACATAACTTGGCTCTCTCGGCGCGTTTTATGGTCCTATGCTGGGCATAAATATTACCTGGGGTGGAGGCTCACTTCCAATAACGAATCCACAATCCAGAATCCTCGATCCACCACCCTCTGTCTAAGTTAATTTCAGTCAAAGGCATTGATATGGTTTGCTTGGTCGGAAGATCTCAGACTGCCGGCCAAATGAAATTACCAACATGCTCATATTTCAATGTATTTAATGAAGACGTTCGGCCAATTATGAGAAAAGAATGTGCAGACTTCTGACCAAGGTTTGTTTTCGGTTAAGGCGAAGACTAAATTATGGGCCATAAGTGCCTGATTATCTGTCTAAACGATCTTTTCTTTATTCTTCGAAATCGATTGCTAATTTTTTGTTCATTAACCAACGTTTAAGGGGGTTTTGTTTATGTTAGGGAGTTTTTCATTTGAATTACTCCCATTTTAAAGAAAAAATGAGTAAAAAGTGGGGATAACCATTGAAAGTAAAATATAACTTCTATAGTGGAAAACCTTAAACCATTTGATTATCGAGTCAAAGATCAGCTTCACGAATTAAAGTGGATTAAAGTGGCCCCACTGACACTCCTATCTTGCCCTTTTATCTATTTTCCATTTAAATGAAGTACAAAGCTTATCGTTTGTCGTTTCTCAATTTTGTAAAATATTTTGTTTTCTACAGATTTATTACAGAAGTGTTAGGAGGAAATGTGAGTGTGCCTTATTGCAAATCAAATCAGCCTTCCGGCTATCCATGTATGTGTATCGAATATGAATGCTAGAGGAGTGAGAGAATTCCTTTTAAATGCAAGGGTCCCAGTACTTTCTCCACTTGATGTTTTCCAGGGTGCCCTGGTCGAGGAACCAGAGACCGCCGTTTTTGTTCTTCTCAATGGCCTTGACGAAGCTCGCGGCGCATTCCTTGGTGGACTGGGTGGGGTGCTCCAGCAGCAACTCGGCCACATCGGGCTCGACATCCAGCCAGGAGTTGAACTTTGCAACCAGGGAGGTGCGGGTAATGCCGGGGTTCACAGTGTAGGCGGTCACTCCGGTGATGTGAGCCAGTTTCTATTAAAAAGGGAAAATAAGCTTACTCATTTCACAGGATAATCTATAATAGAACCTACAGCCAGGGATCTGGTGAAGTTTACAACGGCAGCCTTAGAACCAGAGTAAACGGGCACCTGTGTGATGGCATTAAAGCCAGTCACGGATCCAATGTTGCAGAGAATTCCGCCTGGTCCGCCCTTGCGAATGTCCCAGAAATCCATGATGGCGGTGGTGGTGTTCACCAGACCCGTGTAGTTGACAGCGATGGTGGCCTCGATCTTGTGGTCATCTAGGATACCAGCTCCGTTGATCAGAATGTCCACACACTTCAGCTTGTCAAAGATTTTCTTCAGCAACTTCTTGGACTCGGCAATCGGCACGGTCACATCGTAGGGCATGAAGGTGACTTTTGTCTTAGGATTGAGCTCCTTCAGCTCGCAAACGAGTTCCGGCTTGTCGATTCGATCCAGGATCACCAGGTTCTTCAGGTCGCGCTTGAGGAGCTCCTTGCTGGTGTCCAGCCCAATGTCTCCCAGACCAGCCACGAAGATCACATTCTTGTCGCAGAGAAATGATGACGATGCACTGCAGTTTGCTCTAGCGATCTGTTTTAAAGAGGCTAGGTTAATTGTCTGTCTCCAGTTTTCTACTGCCCCTCCAGTTTATAGAAAGATCTCTTATTTGATGAATTCACTCTTTTATTTCTCTAACAATTGGACTATTTACAAACTTATTAATTTACACCAGCCCTAAAATGACTACCAAAACCAGCGAATAAAAACAACAAAAGAAAGTTTAATCTCTAGAGATGTCTGCAGAACTTGAAGATCTGCGATAAAAAAACCCAATTTGTAATTGAAGAGTACTTACTATATTGTAATATTTGTTCAATTGTCGTGGCTTACAGAAACATTTCACAGTCCGAAAGCTAATAGAAGCAACTGGTCTACATAATTTAGTGAACATTTTCCCAAAAGAGGTTTTTCTAAGGCTTAGTAAATTTTGATGTATCTGTAATGGAGGCCCAGTATGAACTAAAATTTTGAAATTAAGGAAACGACAGATATTTCCAAAAAATGTCATGGCATACTTTTCTTAAAATTGAATTAGTCTTCATATTTATGTATAAAAGGATATAGTCCCCTATATGGCCCACAGAGATGGCTATATCTTTCCCAATTCTCATCCGATTCTCAAGCGGAGTACATTAAACGATTTCTAGATCGATTCGCCACTATTCTGCATCAAAATCCTGAGACAAAATATTTTTTAGATTTTTTGTCCATTTTTCGTGGTGGGACCCCTTGAAAATGGGGTTTTCCCCTATAGGGTCCACCGTGATGGCTATATCTTTCCCAATTCTCATCCGATTCTCAAGCGAAGTACCTTAAACGATTTCTGGATCGGTTCGCCCCCATTCTGCATTAAAATCCTGACACAAAATATTTTTTAGATTTTTTGTCCATTTTTCGTGGTGGGACCCCTTGAAAATGGGGTTTTCCCCTATAGGGTCCACCGTGATGGCTATATCTTTCCCAATTCTCATCCGATTCTCAAGCGAAGTACCTTAAACGATTTCTGGATCGATTCGCCACCATTCTGCATCAAAATCCTGAGATAAAATATTTTTTACATTTTTTGACCATTTTTCGTGGGGAGACCCTGAAAATGGTGTTTTTCCTATATGGCCCACAGTGATGGCTATATCTTTTCCAATTCTCATCCGATTCTCAAGCGGAGTACCTTAAACGATTTCTGGATGGATTCTCCACCATTCTGAATAAAAACCCTGAGACAACATATCTTGTAGATTTTTTGTATATTTTTCGTGGTGGGACCCCTTGAAAATGGGGTTTTCCCCTATAGGGTCCACAGTGATGGCTATATCTTCCCCAATCCTGATCCGATTCTCAAGCGGAGTACCTCAAACGATTTCTGGATCGATTCGCCAAGCATTCTGCATTAAAATCCTGACACAAAATATTTATTAGATTTTTGCAATTCAGCCCAAACAAACAAAGCCAATTGTAGCAACAAAACCAGGGCGAGAATGAAACAACTTAAGCCTCAATAGCATAATAATAAACTGAACGCTCTTAGTAGCTTTCACCCATAAATTTTTCATCTTTGCCCCTGTGTGTTCCGTTTTAATAAGGTGCAACGCTTGTCGTTTGTGTCTCAATTTGTGTAAAAGTTTGAATCTTCTACAGTTTTATTACCGTATCAGATTGAAAAGTGATTTGATTTGCAATAAGGCACAACCACCATTGTTATGCGTGTACATATATAGGTTTATAACTAATACTAGTGGCATGCGAGTATTCTCCTTAGATGCACGGGTCCCAGTGCTTGTCCCACTTGATGTCCTCCAGGATGCCCTGGTCTAGGAACCAGAGACCGCCGTTTTTGTTCTTCTCGATGGCCTTGACAAAGCTGGTGGCGCATTCCTTGGTCGACTGGGTGGGGTGCTCTAGCAGCAACTCGGCCACATCGGGCTCGACATCCAGCCAGGAGTTGAACTTTGCAACCAGGGAGGTGCGGGTGATGCCGGGGTTCACAGTGTAGGCGGTCACTCCGGTTATATGAGCCAGTTTCTATTAAAAAGGGAAAATTAGTTTTTTCATTTCACAAGTCATTAAAATATAAAACATACGGCCAAGGAGCTGGTGAAGTTGACCACAGCAGCTTTGGAACCAGAGTAAACGGGCACTTGAGTAATAGGATTAAAGCCAGTCACGGAGCCAATGTTGCAGATAATTCCGCCTGGTCCGCCCTTGCGAATGTCCCAGAAATCCATAATGGCGGTGGTGGTGTTCACCAGACCCGTGTAGTTGACAGCGATGGTGGCTTCAATCTTGTGGTCATCCAGAATACCAGCTCCGTTGATCAGGATGTCCACGCACTTCAGCTTGTCAAAGATTTTCTTCAACAACTTCTTGGACTCGGCAATCGGCACGGTCACATCGTAGGGCATGAAGGTGACTTTCGTCTTGGGATTGAGCTCCTTCAGCTCGCAAACGAGTTCCGGCTTGTCGATGCGATCCAGGATAACCAGGTTCTTCAGGTCGCGCTTAAGCAACTCCTTGCTGGTGTCCAGCCCAATGTCTCCCAGACCAGCCACGAAGATCACATTCTTGTCACAGAGAAATGATGACGATGCACTGCAGTTTGCTCTAGCGATCTGTTTGAAAGAGGCTGGGTGAATTGTTTGCCTTCAGTTCCCTACTGCCCCTCCAATTTATAGAAAGATCTCTCTTAGGAAGTTACAGACTGGACTATTTAGAAACTTATTAATCTACACCAGACCCAAAATTTTACCTCTGCGATAAAAAAACCCAATTTGTAATTGAAGAGTACTTACTATATTGTAATATTTGTTCAATTGTCGTGGCTTACAGAAACATTTTACAGTCCGAAAGTTAATTGAAGGAACTGGTCTACATAATTTAGTGAACATTTTCCAAAAGTTGTTTTTCTAAGGCTTAGTAAATTTTGATGTATCCGTAATGGAGGCCCAGTATGAACTAAAATTTTGAATTAAGGAATTGCCCTTTAAAGGGAATAGCACGGCACACTTTCTTTACAATCAGCTACCAATTGTAACCAAATAATTATTATTGTGAGTTTTAGGAGTTAAAAATTATGTAGAAGATAAAAACCTTTCTTTGTGCTTAACATATTTATTTAAATTGAAACATCCAATGTTTGTTTTTTTTTAGTTTCCCAGCCCAGCACCTGCCTGTTAATCGAGGACATTCGACGGGATGAGAAGACCATCAAGGATCTGACGAACACTATTACCAACCTGAGCCAACAGCAAAACAAACGATGGTCCACGGCCATGAATAATGCTCTAAACAACCATCACTTTAATCACCATAGCCAGTTCCAATCGTCTCGAGATGAAACGGACTTTCAGGTGAACCCCACGAGTAACAACTCCCAGGGCACATCCAACGAGCGACCCAAGTCTCTGCCATTGGCGGCCAACTCCACTCCAGCGATTGTCTCGGCCATAGTCAAGAAGATTCCGACTGTTTTGGAGCATGGCGACAAGGGGAAGCCAGCTGCCAGGCTGCAGTTACAACTGAAGTCCCCAAAGCACTACCAGCACGAGCGCGGTGATCCCGATGGCGGGTGCAACCTGGACGAGATGTGCGTTAACTACATGGCCAAAACGGACGAGCTACGCGGTTCAGTGGGCAAGCAACCCAGCAGTAAAGCCGTCGTCGGTCAGGGCAAGCCACCGGTAAAGGCCGCTGCGGAGGACTCGCTAAACGCCAAAAAAGGATGGCTGATGAAGCAGGACAACCGCACGGGGGAGTGGTCCAAGCACTGGTTTACACTCAGCGGAGCGGCGCTCTTCTACTACCGGGATCCCTTGTGCGAGGAACGAGGCGTGCTCGACGGCGTCCTTGATGTCAATAGCTTGACTAGTGTCGTGGCCGAACCGACGGCCAGCAAACAGTACGCCTTCCAGCTGACCACGTGGGACAAGCAGCGGTTGCTCCTGGCGAGTCTGTCGCCTGGATCCAGGAACAGTTGGCTGGCGGTGCTGAGAAGTGCGGCCGGACTACCTCAGCTGGAGACACCGCCACCGCAGACAGATATCGAGCAGGACTTCATCAAGGCGCAGCTTCAGCAACAGCCATCTTCTAGTCCCGTCACGCCCAGCACTCCGGCTGGACCGCCGCATTTCTCATCAGACGAGGAGTACCGCACCGCATCGGAGGGCGGTCGGCGGGACAGCCTTGACTGGGGATCTCCATTGTCGCCATCGCCGCCGGTACTGCGCAGCTGTCTACGAAACCGAAGCCTGGCCAGTATGCACAAGAGGAGCCGGAGTTCGCCGCCTAGTTCTCGGCGCAGCACCGTGGACAGTGTAGCCAGTGACGAGCTGCCCCTTCTGGTGGTGCCCGAGGAACTGCAGCCGTCAGAAAGCCGTGAGCTGAAGCAGCAATGCGAGACCCTCCGGGCTGAGGCCTCCTTGAGGGAAGCCCGAATGGCCGAGCTGCTGGCCACCCTCCAAAGGACCGAGCAGCAGCTGACGGCCAGGCTTCAGGAGCAGCAGCAGCAGCTAAACAGCGAACTGACCCAGGCCAAACAGAGTGCGTCGGATCTGATGCACAATCTGGGTCTCCAGCTGACCGAAAGCCAGTTACAGATCAAGCAGCTGGAGGACCGCTTGGCCCAGGGAATCGAGGAGAATGAGGGCTTGTACAAGCGGCTAAGGGAGTTGCAGACACAGGACAATGGTGGGGGAGGCGTAGGAGGAGTCGGAACCGCAGGACTGAGCAATCTACAACGACACAAGATCAAGCGAATGGACTCGCTTAGCGACCTCACCACCATCACCGACATCGATCCCTACTGCCTGCAGCGCGACTCGCTGGCGGAAGAGTACAACGAGTTGAGGTCCCGCTTCGAGAAGGCCGTCAACGAGATCCGGGCCATGAAACGGGAGCTCAAGCAGTCCCAGAACCAGTACGATGCCCTGGAGCTGGCGCAGGCAGCTCTGCAACAGAAGCTGGAACGGAGACAGCACGAAGATGGCGCCCAGCTGCAACTGATGGCCGCTCGTATCCAGGACCTTACCCTCAAGTACAGCAGCTCGGAGCGGCAAGTGCGAGCCCTCAAGCAGAAACTAGCAAAGTCAGAAAGGCGGCGATCCCTGTCGCTGAAGGGAAAGGAGCAGCTGGAGCTGAAGCTTAGCGAGCTGCAGCGCGAAACGGGGGATCGCAAGGAAGGCACACCACCAGAGTCCTCCAGCAGCGAGTCAAGCAGCCAGTCCCCGCTGAACGCCCATTTGCTGCAACGGCTGCATAGCCTGGAACACGTGCTGTTGGGCAGCAAGGAGCGACTGGAGCAGAGTCTAACCCAACTCCAGCAGATTCGAGCGGGCCAGCGCACCCGGCGCTCCGTCTCGCCCATGAACGACCGCAAGGACGGGTTGCGCCAACTGGAGCGCGCTCTGGCCGAGACCTGTGTGATGGTCAGCGAACAGATGGAGCTCACCTGCTTGCAGGACGCCTGCCACAAGTGCTGCGACCTGCGGCAGCGAGTGGAGAAGCTCTCCACCCTCCAGCAGCAGACGGAGACAGATTTGCAGCGCAGTGAGCAGCTGCTGGAGCAGCGAGAAAGCGAGCTGGCTCAGGCCCTCGAAAAATGTGCCAGTCAGGAACAGGAGCAGGAACTACTCCTGCAACAGCGGCAGGAGCTGAGCGAGGAGTTGAGTCGCCAGCAGGAGCGCTGCCGGCGTCTGGAGAAGCGGCTGGAGCTACTGGAGAGGGAGCATGGGAAGCAGCTGGAGTGCCTGCGGGAGGTCTATCACAACGAACATGCCAGTGCCGCCGACGAGCAGAGTTTCCGGAAGCGTTACCAAACAGAGATCGAGCAGCTGAGGGTGAGTAGTTTGGATGCATTCAAAAGATTACTATCTAAATCTATCTTATATATATCTTACTATCTATCATCTTAGACGCTTTGCGAAAAAGGATTGAGTGCCATGGAAACATCGCATCGTAGACTAACTTGCGATTTAGAGCAGAAGCACAAGCTGGAAATTGAGAGACTGCTGGCCGAAAAAGAAACGGCCCTGGCCGAGGAGACTCAGGTGAGACATAAAATCCTTAATATTTTTAATTATTTTAAATATATTTTTGATAATAGGCCACACTGGCGGCTCTGGATGCCATGAGAAAAGCTCATCAGAGCGAAGTTCAAAGGGAGGTGGCACGCTTCAAGCAGGAGTTCCTGCGGCAAGTTCAGCGGGGAGAACACATTCAAGGCGAAGGTGGCAAGCTGAAGGAGTAAGTAGAAACCCTCTTTTGGTTAATTTCGTTATTTATAAGGTTTTTTTCGGATTAATAGAGAAGAACTCGAAGAGCTTCGTTTGGAAATTCTGTCGTTTTCTGAAAAGTATTCCATCAAGTGTGTGGAGAACGCTGCCCTCGAGGAGAAACTGCATCTGGCCAACAGCAAGCTGAGGCACTTCCAGCAGATGCAGCAATTGGAACTGAGGTGATTTTTTCATCCTTATTAAATCATCAATTCCATGTTATCTCTAAAATATCGTGTTTCCAAAACTTTATACAGAAATAAGCAATTTCGAGCTCACTTGGCCTCCGAAGATCCCACAAATGATGTTCACTTCGTCCAAGGCTTGACCACGGATTCCAGAGAGGGTGCTGACTGTGAAGATAGCGAGGTATGATCATTATATCCAAACTACAAAGTACTCGTATTATTTAATGTATTTGTAAAAATTGTGACTAACACTAATCACTACAATGGCAGACAACAACTAATCCTCTTTGTTACCATCTTCCACTATCCCAAAAAAAAAAAATAATAAATGAATAAAAAAAAACCACACAACACAAACAACACACCACAAACCACCCAGCCTGCACCACAAATAAAGGCTGCAACATCAACAGCCAGAACCACAGTCACGGCCACAACCACCGCCACAACAACCAGATCAGCAGCCTCAAGCGACACAGAGTCCAATTCCGACTTAGATGCAGATCCATCGCAGGCGCCAACCGAGAAAATGGAGCAAAGTCTCTTCGTAATACCCTCCCATATGCTAAACTGTTCCCCCGTGCCTGCCGCTAAAAACGCTTCTGATCAGAGCCCGGATCGAGATCTCGATGGGCCCGGAGATGGTTACGAGCCATGCTACAGGCCCTTCGATATATTCGCCATCTATCAGAATCGTTTGAGCTTCCAAGGTAAACGCAAAAAAGCAATTCACCTCCACGAACCACTCTTTCTTGTACTTTTCTTATGGGGCGGCGCACTCTCTTCTACATCACTCGGCCTGTCTTCTGTCTTTCCGAACATTTCTCCTGGCACTTATTGGTGTTGTTCTCGATGTAAAAAAAACACGCACACACACTCACATCTGTTTTGGCCTAATCCATCTTTATAGACTTTAAAGACTTGTCTAATTTTTGGTTATATTTTTCCCTTTTTTTTGGGGCTTTCGTTACAGGTTTGAAGAAGAGCAGCTCCACGTTTGGTAAGAGTTTGCGAAAATCCACTGCTCATACATCACCAGCATCATCAGAACTAACAACGATAGAAACGACAGTAACAACATCTAATCCAAATAAGCCCAGTCACAAGCAAATGTTTAAAACGGCTGCCGTCATTAATATCCAGCAACAGCAACTACTCCAGGAAGAAAAAGCACAATGAACAACCGCCAAGATGCAAATGCAATAACCAAGAGCAAGAAACAACAAACAGAACCAGTGGATCAACCAAAGAATAATTAGTGCTAATAATAAATAAATAATTGTAATTATTTAAAGTATATTAATAACAAAGCAACCAAATGCAAGACAAAAATTAAACGGCACAACACCATAATGTACAGAATAACCCCAAATAACATTTCTCAAACAATGCTGGTGGAGGAGGATGATTCTGATGATGAGGATGATGATGTTGGTGATGTGGCAAGCAAGCAAGCGACATTGGAGGAGAGTCCCATGGAGTTGAGCTAACATACGACTGTTCACCCCCCTCCAGGAGCTATCTGGAAGGGACGTCGAGCAATGATGATACAACTAACTAACCACGAAAGCAGCAGCAACTACTGCGTCATCAACAACCAACCAACCACACAAAGGCAGCAGCAACAGAGTTAAGAATTTTGGGCCAAATTTATGTATTTATCGTCTATTCTATCATTGTACTTGTATGTTATTCTATTGTACGGTTTACCCAATTCTCTATGTCCACAAAATGTGTCATTTATTTATGTTTACGTATGTAGTTTTTAGGCCTACTTTGAAGCAATCGACAAGCGTATTAAGCTCCATGTTTGTTTCACCTTTTTTTTTGCTGTATGTATTGAGTATATATCGAAATTGTTTTCAGCATTAATACATACATACAGATGTGTAAATGCATTAAACATTTAAAATAAATATTTAATTTTATGCTTGTTTTGTTAATCATTGGTATTAATCATATACTTTACCTAAATTAATGCAATTTTAATCTTACTAAATAAGTGGGGAAAAACCAACAAATGTTAATATTATTTACCCATAAGTCGTTATTTGTGCAACAAAAAATAAAAACTATAAGCAATGTTTATAATTTGACAAAAAAAAAACAAAAAATTTCTTTTCACTTGGGCTCGTCCGGGATTTGAACCCGGGACCTCCCGCACCCTAAGCGGAAATCATACCCCTAGACCAACGAGCCAGTTGCCAGCTGTTTGTCCAAATGCGCATTTACGTTACCGACAGAATCGAATAGACTTCTTTCATGGCCAAGTGAAAGCTTTAGCCTTGGTGGTGGCTACAAAACCAGTTTTTAATCAATTTGAAACGATATTGTGTTACGAAAGTGTCTTTTAACCAAATCTTCACAAACAAAAAGACGGTAAAATGAAGAATGTAGATTTTCAGCGGGCGATCAACTGGCTCGTTGGTCTAGGGGTATGATTTCCGCTTAGGGTGCGGGAGGTCCCGGGTTCAAATCCCGGACGAGCCCAATGGATGTGTTCTTTTTTTTAAATTAATATTGGTTCTCAATAAATATTTTTTTCATTTATAAGCTGCAAGATATCACCTAATATCTTAATATATAAAGTACCTTTTATACATAAAGAGATTCATACAAACAAACTGTATAATGGATTTCGTGATTTTATTTGAAATATGTATCTTTAAATCGTAACAAAAAAAGTTTTATTTTGAATAAAAATCATAAAACTATATAGTTTTCAAATAAAAAAATAAAATAAAATAAAAAAATTAACTCACTTGGGCTCGTCCGGGATTTGAACCCGGGACCTCCCGCACCCTAAGCGGAAATCATACCCCTAGACCAACGAGCCAGTTGTTCAACGAGCGACAAAAACCCGATTTGATATGGCAGCGCTCCATGCGCAAGTGCAAATAAAGCTTTGGGCCCGAACAAGCGCAAGCTTTCCTGGAAATCCGAAAAACAGCGATACAGATACGCACATCTACAAGATACAGATACAGTCGCCTCATTACATGCCATTTTAAGTAATTCCGATGAGTCGGGCAAAAAGCGCAGCTGAATAAATGACAGTTGTTCATTGGTTCCATGCAGTCTGCTGGCGCAGCACAGTTTCCAGCAAAGGGCAAAGAAAAACCAAGTAGCTGGAAAGCAGGAGACCGATTCCATAAATGTCAACTAACGCTCCCTTGGGACGAGCTTCAGTCTTCGATGGACTGACAGACCCTTTGGCGATTTTAAAATGCAGAAACCTAACCGACGGTTATGGACTTTTTCCCGAGAACTGTTCGATCTGTTGTGTTCTGTTTAGATAGTCTTATGGACATATTGCCTTTTTCGCCCACTACCGTGATTGTGACGTCACTTCAAATGAGTTGCAATTGATTTGAACTTTTCCCAATCGAAATCGGATTCGGAATCGTAATTGCAGTTGCCCGTTAATTCGAATAATTGTTTTGCTACTTGGGAAGCGATTCGACAAAATGTTGGTAAACCTTAAGGAAACAACCCAATCCGAAAACAAAATGTTGTTGGAAATTAGTGGAAATTACAGGCCGCTGTTTGACTTTTGAATCACGATTTTCACTTCATTGGCAATCCATCGATACAATTTGTTTGATTTTCCGACGCTCTGCCCGGCTTTTCCTTTCGCTGCTGCCTGCCTGTCCCTGACCCTTGGGGGACCATCTATAAGAAAAGGCAAATAGTGGTCTTGAGTGGCGCTTTTCTTTAAACTTGAGATACCTGGCTAACAATCCATTTTATTTGATTATCTTCTCAGCTGCCGTCGCTCCGGCTGCCGACTGACGTGACGGAATTGAAATTACTTAATTCGAGCGATTGGCAGGGGCTGGGGGATCAATCGAGGTTAACCGCAGGCCTAGCAGGTGAATATATAATATAAATATATATGTATACTAAAATATATTTCTTCTTCTCTAGTCAAGAATATGGGTCAACTGAACTGATTTCCCGGGCAAGAGGCGGTCATCGATAACTATAACAAGTCGACCAAGTCGGTAATGAACATGATCGGGTGGACCACCTCTTCCCAACGCAATTTCTGATCTGGCTGGCTCAGTCCAATCCAATCATTCCCAATTGCAGCCTCCATTTCCCCCCAATTGCCGGCTTCTGGCCAAATACGTCATTACCATGTTGCACACCAGCAATTACCATCTAGTTGTCCATGGAATTTTCTAGTTGAAATCAAGAAAAGGCCTACCATGTGTGTAGTTTTGAGAACTGATTAGCTCAACCACAAATAGGAACAAGAAACTAAGAATATTGTAACCGGAAATTCAACTTGAAATAATCATTTTAATTGTCAGCCAAAGAATAAAGATATTTGGAAAGTTTCCAGTGGTATTGGAATGTGATAAGATAGTAAAATAATTAGCCTTATTAAAGAGGCCAGTTCTGGGAAAAGGTATTTCTTCACTGGACACCAAAATAATGCTATTTTTTTAACTTTTAAACTATAATTTTTGTTATAGAAGCCAATTTATGGAGCCCCCCATCCACTCACGTCCACTGGCCTAGCCTGGCCTGGCCACCAACTAATTAACCGCGGCCTCGTAAATTGTTATGATATGCCATAAAAGATACGACACTAAATCTTTCACCAACTTCAAAGGATTTCGCTTGGGTCTTTCTCTCTAGGTAGTTCCTAACAAGCGCCAAAAACAAAATCACCGCAAATTAGAACAAACCCATCACGATCGATTACATTAAATAATGCTACGCCTGGGCCATGTGCACTTTTTTTAGTTTTTTTCATATTGTTGGTGCAAGAGATTCTAACAAACAGCGACAACATCAAAGGCTCAAGAAAAGGCAGCAAAGCCACGACCCAGATGGCCTTCTTCTCCCGAAGAATTGGGGGGATAAATTGGAACGGGAGGGGACTCTTCGATTCAACTCCGACTTGGACTTCATTGAGGCATAACGTTTGCCTCGGATTCTTTGGGCCTGTTATAACGGCCACGAAATCGCACAGCAAAACAATGCCACAGCAGCAGCATCGAAGCCAACTTGCAACAGTGGCAGAAACGGTAGCTGCCCCCGCTTCTCCAGCTGGCAACATGTTGAAAAGGGAAAATTGTTTCGTTTCGTTTCGTTTTCGGTCTGCCTGCCGTGCCAACTCTCTCAGGGGATATTATGTTTGGTTGGCTGTTAACATAAATTTATACTGCTTTTAAACTAATTGACGATGACAACTTCTGTGCAGCATCGGCCACAATAACACAAAAGCGACTCCAAGACGTGGCTTACTTTTCTAGTCATCCTTGGGATCATTTTGTGGGCTGGCCTCTAAAAATGTTTCCAGGCTTTCCGTCGATTTACGAGTGTAGCGATCTTGAAATGCCTTCGAGAGCTAGTGTACGAGTTGGTGTGGCAGTGACACATTTTATTCAAGACCAGAGATAATTGGGGAGTTTGGGGTATTTCAAAAATTTTAAGTTTGAGGTATTTATACCCTAATATTTTTGTAATTTTTAAAAACATTAAATAAGTACCTATAGTGTGTTTAATAAAATAAATTAAATTAGCTAAGAGATCTCCGACTTGTGCCGACTCTACTCTTTCTTGAAAATTCAGTTTCATTGGGTTTTCCATTTTCATAAACGTGTACGATCATCAATTGTCATTAGTGAAATTAAAAGCTGTTGTAGAAGATATAGTGCCGGCTGTCACAGTGGCCGAGGAAAGTTTCGATTCTGTGCCCCGGGCCGGCTCAAGATCAAGATTGTGTGACAATTGATGAATTCGTAGAGGAAAAGGAGCAAAAAGGGGCAGACGTGGGACCTCCACCAGGCCTCGGCCACTGAGGAAGTCGACAACAAGTTGTAAGAACAAATAAACAATTGGTAATTGTCTCGAATTAGGAATGGAAATGGAAATGGCAGAGGTAACAGTGGAACGGGAATAGGAGTTGCATTCGAGGTGGAGAGACACAGAAACCCGGTGACACACATTTCCATCCATTTTCGAGGCATACACCATCTACATGCAATGTACACGAGCTTGGAAACCGAAAGTCACACAAACCGAGATAATCATCAAACGAGACTTCTTCGGAGACTCCTCTGAATTCTCTACTTCTCATTGTCTCTCTGGGCAATCGTGTGAAACATAAATGCGCCCAAATTGATTTTTAAATGCTCCTGGGGACCTCTGTGGAGGATTGACCCAGCTCAACCCTCTGGGAATCGAATGCAATGATGACGCTTCGATGAATCGTGTTCCATTTGGCTGCCGTAATACGCAGGCCCCGTTTTTGGCCATGGCCGGAATAAACGACGAAATCTGTTTACTATTTAAGGTAGTAACAATTTGTTCGTCTCACGTTTTTGGCTCGCACATATTTGGCTAGGATGCGCTGTTTGCCCCACTAGAATCTGGCGATTGGGAATCACCAGAGAGAGGGGGCTGGCTGGCTCCCTCGAAAAAAAAGGAGAAAAAAGTATATATGCCCCAACGCCCACAATGAAAGGTGAAGGCGTTGCCGCTACAAATTCCCAGCTGGCCTGATATGAAATCACAAAAACATTGCATAAACATCGGAACATCGGACAATGGGCCACCTAAACGAACCGATCGTAAATTGTGCGGTAGTTGGCCACACAATCAAAAAATTTTCGGGGATTGGGAAGACTGGAGACTGGAAGACTGGAGACTGGACGGGGGTACCTGTGAAGTCGTAAATTTGTCGACCGTTTCTCTGGTCCTGGCTTTGGGTTAACAGTGCGTGTATTTCTGGTCATGAAGTAACCAAGACCGCCCCCGAGGGAACTGGTCACTGGCATGGTCAAGATCATTGCGAACCTCGGGCTGACTTTGTTCCCTAAAAGGGAAAAGCCCCAGGGTGTGGCCCAAGAGAAGTTTTCACAATCTTGTTCTTTTTTTCATAAAACTAATAACCTTTGTAGGCCTACCCTCAGTGATAATCATAGATTGGATCAATAGTTCTCTGATCGTTGATCGGTAGCCAAAGCACTCGAGCAAACCATGGGGTTTGCTGGCCCAGGGGATCAAAGATCTCTAATCAAAACTGTTCTTATACCATGGGCTGGGCTGGGAGAACC